TCCTGAAAATGAAATGTGATATAGTGCTATCATTGCTCTTTCTAATAACTAATTGGAAAAAAAAAATTAAACTTCAGATTTAAACAAAGGAACAGAATTGTAAATGATGTTTGTGCACTCAGTATTCTAAGGCTGAATGTTAAAAGTGCCTTCTGTCTTAAAATCTTAAACCAAATACTTTGTGTTGAACTTGGCAGGCAGAAGTGTCCTTCCTCTAAAAATGAACAAACAAACAAAATTCCCAGCAAACTTGCTGGGTATAGAAGAGTATTAAGAGATCTATTTTAGTTTTTAGACTGAGAAGTGGTAGCAATATTGTTTCAGTTAACCTAAAACAATGCGATAGAAGGTTGATGATGCAATTCGGAAGAGTAAAATACTCGTGTTTCAGACTCTGTGACACCAAAATGTATAGGTTCAGCTACTTTCTGTAATTGGTGCTGTGCTGCTTTTTGCCCTTGTCAGCTTCTAAATATGAAGAACTCCAGCTGCGTACCCACTTATTTAAAGAATTAGTTTAAATAATTGTAGGATTTTTTTCTTAAACATGAATGTCAGAGAGACACTTATGTTGTATGGTTAAGTGGATTATAAACACTAAGTTGCTGAGGATAAACTTGACTGTGAAACATACAGTGTTCTGTAGAGAAAATAGAATTTTTAGATTGAATTCACAAAATAGTATTTAAATTACTACTGAAGTAATTTTCTGGTTTGTATCAAGGATGTAGGTGGAAACTGCTTTTATGTATAGAGTTCTGTGGTATGAGTAACATCTGTTGCATGTAACACTAAATTACTTGTCCCTCTTGTCTAACAGTTTTAGACAACAATTCATTAAATGCATTTTGTATTGACCAGAGTATAGTTAAAGCTTGTCTTGATGTTTAGTTCTGTCTCAAATGCCTTGAACTTTGATATGAGGGGAGTGAATGGTGTTAAACTGGTCCCTCAAGGCTTTACTTTGTTCTCTTACAAGCCTTGAGGCAATATCACTGTTTAATATGTTGTATAGATTTATTTTGATGCATTCCTGTGACCTACACTAAGGCATCTTTTCATCAAAGGAAGAGGTGAACACGTGCTGCCTGAAATGGTTAGTCGCAGTGCTAATATCTCAGAACAAGCGGCAATGGAGACAAGTATAATCAATGAATACTTGGTCCAATTTCTGGGTGTAATGCACACCGGGGAAAAAAAAAAAAAGGCAAAAAGCCCCATCAGCTGAAAGTATAGGTGTTGACTAACTTCACTGTGTCTTGTGCTTGTCTGTGTGGGCATAGTCTGTTAATTGAGTTTGTTTAGTAAAATTGTTTAGGGACAGATTTTTCAGCAGTTGTGTCTGCAGTCCTTGTTTGCGTGCACATAGGGATCAAATGGAAATTGAGTTTGGTCTCTGGAAAAACTTGCAGCTACACTTTGTGCACGAACTTGCAAATCTGATCCTTAGTTGTGAACTCTCTTGTCTTGTGTGCTCTTCTTGCAGTTACTTTTTACTGGAAGTGATTTGCTAGAAATGGCCCTAACTCTTCTACTTTCTCTTCTGTGCTTCAGAAATGCAGTTGGCCTGAATAAAGGGCAAAATAATCTTAGCTGTAGAAATTCGGACCTTTTTGCTTCCAGTTCTTTGACTTTCCTCGTTGCTCCCAATGCTAGAAACAGCTTATTTCTTCCAGTAAAATGGCTCAGGTTACAATTAGTAATGTGATGGAAATGAGATGAGTGCTTCATGCAACTGCCTCCCTGCTGCCCGCGGCCAAAACAAGTGTCATGGCAAATGTGTGGTTGGTATTAATTTGAGCCTTACAAATCTGAAGGTGAATTCTGAGAAATCTTGAGGATACAAGAGTATAGGTAAAAAATGCCAGTCTGGCAGAGGGACAGGCGGGGCAGTATCATCACACAGATCGTGGTTGTGGTTTCAACACACATGAGAATGGAGGGGAAAAAAATTATAATCTGCAACAGTGGTTCTGAATTTGGGCTTCCCCCCACTGCTCCTGGCTTTCAGAAGTTCTGCAGGGAGGGGCAGATTGGAAAGGCAAAAGAACTTCATCCCAAAACCTGCTTAGGAATTAAACATTCCTGAAATCCTCTTACTGTAAGGTACTTGCTACTCTTAAGGCCAATGAAGCATTCAAGTCTTGTTTAGGAAACAAATGTTCTTGGAAGTTTCTTACTGTAAAGTGTTTGCAACACTAAGGCCAATGAAACATTCCCTACCACCTTTGATATCTAAAGTGAGAACAAATCTCCTCTTAGATTTCTGCATACTGTAGTATGCATTTGTCTTCTGCTGTACAGAGTCTCTCGATTGTTCAAAAAGATCCATGAGGTGCTTCAGGCAGCACTTGATGCTCCTAATTTATATGGGCTAAAGTCAGAGAGATCCAATAACTTTGGTTCTGCCAATGTTGTTTAAACGTGATCTAGACAAAACTGGTCCAGAAAAGATTTAAGTATTCTGTTACCATAAAACTGTATTAAGCATGGCCTAAATATTAGGTGTTTGTTCTGTATAGTATGTTCCACCAACTATTTATTACTAGTGCTTTAAACTCCAAATTAAACACCCATTTAAATGGAGTCATTGGGCAGATGTTCCTTTTATAGGTTGAGAGATTCTCTATTGGAGGTTTAGGAAACAATTTTGGTAATAGGTAAAACAATGTAAATATGTACGAATTCTATTTGTTGCACATAACTTTTTGGTATAAAAAATAAATGTAGAAATTACCTGTGGACGTCTTGCTGCAATCATTCTTATGCTGCATTCATGCAGTCCAAACATAAGAGCTTGAATGAACCCAGAGGCCTTTTTGGACTCAGTCTGAGCCTTAGAAACTGTTTTTAAAGTCAGTACTGTAATTCTGTTTCTAGAAATGTACTAAGTTATGATCTTTTTTTTAAGATGTGTGTTAGCAGTAGAAGGGTTAAAGCACTTGAGTCCCCAGAGATACCGGTTTGTAGAATTTCTGCTCTGCTGAATGTTGTGTGCACATGGGTGTGTAAAGGTTGAGCAGCATTGAGTTGAGGCTTTAACTGTTTACAGTTCTTTAAGCAACATGCAAAAAAACCCTGCTAAGTATGTTATTTTTATGACTTCGTGCTTTCCTTGGTTCTGTAAGTCTGCTTTAACACCACTCCAACAAGATCACAAAGTATCTGGAAACTGCTGTGTGTTTTCCTGGATTTGGAGGGGAGGGAGGGAGCTTTTGGGGAAGGGTTGGGTAGGCAGCTTGGGTTTACAATTGCACTGAGCTGCTAAGAACGAGCAGGAACTAAGACTCTGCAATGTGCGCTTACCATACATGTGGATATTAAACTTTGCATCTCTTTTGTTGGACTGATTCTCTTCTGCACCCGCAAGCCCTGTGTGTTATCATGGGGATCTGAGCCCTAGTTTGTAATGCATTAATGTCAAATCTTTATCTGTATTTTGATGTGGCAGCTGCTGGTATGTCATGTCATTTGAAATGGGGAAGAAAATGGTTTAAAAAAAATTATGTCTAGAGAGCGAGAAGCTGAAATTACTTTCAAACACTGGTAGTGGGCTTAAATATGGTATTTGCTCTTATACCATGGTACATTTAAGCAAGTGTCTTTTTACTATGGATAGACTTCTATATTCTGCATTTTTAGTTATATAGAAAATCTGTAAACCTAACACAGTATAACCATAAGGAATGTTGATAGTATGTTTCCTCTTTTCACTTAAAGATTCAAAAAATGTTTTTAAGTCTGCAGTAAACATCTATGTCCTTATTCTGCATGTGGCAGTGTGGAAGGTGGTGTTGGTTTCTAATGTATCACATCTAAATGAAAGAGAATTTGGCCACCACACAACATAAAGGCAAATGCTTTCTTTATATTGGCAGATGTTTTGGACACTTTCTTGAGCTACTAGCAGAAGAACCTGTTGCAGGAAAAAGTAGTCATAGCAACAGTTTCATACAGTATCTGTGAATCAGAATAATAAAACTATGTAATTGTGCCAACTTCCAAAATTCAGTAGGCAGCCTCTGATTTTGTGGTTCTGCTTTGGGCGATGCTGCTCTCAGGACAGCCCTAGGATGTTGCAATAAGTTTTCAGACTAAGTGTTCTGAGCTTTTCTTTGAGTATTGGCATCATCTACTGCAGTCTAAAGCCTGGTCTTTGGAGTCCTCTAAGACTGGTGTGCGGCCTGAAAGGGCCGTTACTACACTACATTACTGTCTAAAGTAGCGTATGCACATTAATTTACACCCTACCCAAGAATGCTTCAGGCCCGTATCAGAAAGGTTTAGATCAAATTTACCCTCCAGACTATTATTACTGCAGTGCATAGTGACAATTTAATATGAAGGAAGCTCTTCCATGCTGGAAGGTAAAACTGCATCTAATAGCGGCAGTTCTGGTACTGTGACTAAAATAAATAGTTTTAAACGAAGTTCAGTTATTATTGTACCTACGTATCTAACATATTCCACCTTGCTGCTATGAATTCCATACTATGTTGGAGTATGTTGGGTACCCTCACAGAAGTGGTGGTTCATACACTTCCTCAATGCTGTGAACTCTCAGAATTTTTCAGCCAGCCACATACATTCTGCCCAGCAAGAGAAGCTATATAAAATGTGCTCTTCAGTAATCCTGTGGACAATTTGCTGTGATCTGAGTAGGGTAACTGTTAGGGGAGTATAACTGGAAAACCTCATTTGCATTGGATGGATGTGATGTTCATTTAGAGTAACTTAGATTTTTTTTTTTATGTCTTCAGCATTGATTTGTATCATGTAATACTTTTATTTTTTTGCCATAAACAGATACCTCAGTCAGGATCTCTAACTTCAGCTCCTTGAAACTCTGAATATTCATTTTACTACCTGGAAATAGGAAGCCTACAGGCATAGCTAAGCATAGGAAACTAGTGTTTCTGATCTGCTTTGTATCATAGTAACTACTTCAGGTGGACTAGAAATTGCATTAGACTGCCGAGACTCAAGTTAGGCATAAATATTACTTAAACAGAAATTTAATGAACAAGTTCAGCATAGTACCCAGCCACTATACCTTTAGATTTCATTTTAGAAAGAGGGCATGTGATTTTATTATAGGCGGAAGACAGCTTGATTCATTTGCAATCTTCCAGTATCTTTCTCTAAGAACAAATGCAGCTGATTTGGGCTGTCGTTGGCGGGTAAATATTCCTTTCTTGTTCCCCAAAACACGTGTGGTCCCTGTAGAGAAGTTATAAAATAAAGCAAGTATATATAAAATGCTCTTATATCCCCTCCTGTGAACTGTTACAATGGATGTACTAAATCAGGTTAGGTGGAAGAGACCTATGCACTTTCTTCTACACATAGTCAGGTACAATGGGGAACTTGGCAGGTGTAATTTGCGTCATCTTGACAAGATTGATTGATGTAACTGAGCAATATAGCTGCAATTTGTTGTATTTACAACTGGTAAGTTGATGACAGTTAATTCAGGTGTGCCCATTGACTGATAAGTATTATATTTTCAGCAGATGTTCCTTCTGCCATTAGTTCCACCTTGAATTTATGGTGAAAATGTTGATTACTGTACTGTCCTTTAGTGGTGTCCATATGCTTTTTGCCTATTTTAATTTTCATAGGAAAATAGAAAAGATGATCACAACATACAGAGAGACTGGAACTGCATATGTGTATGTGAACTTGCCTACATTTTCTCCATCCTCCTATTTGAAACTAATACTGCTTTTCTGACTGCTTCTCTGCAATGACTTAGCTTTCTAATACCTATATTGGTGCTCTACAAGTTATTCCTAATGGTGTTTCTCAGCCTGAAATGAACACTGACTGTTCACCACCCTAACTCACTGCAGGTGACATATGCATAACTGGTTCTGTACTAGGTCTCCTTCGGAGTTGTAATCAATTTCTGTGTGACTGCGCTGTAGATCAAGTAATGCCCCATACTCTGCGACTGCACTTACTTATTAATAATGGATGGAGTGTCATGATAGACAGTTGTCTACTAGTGTGGCATCTGGTCCTCTATTGCTAAACCTCCATACCAAGGTAATAATACATTATTTAAGGTGCTCTGTTACTAAGGGCAGTTGTAGATGAAATATGAAGCAAGTGAGACATATCCCTAATGGCTGACTGAAGCCCTGAATTGGGGATGGCCAAGAAATGAAGTAATCTGGGTCTGCTCACAAGCTTCCCTTGCATTCTGCCCTAGCATGCTGTCTCATGTTCTGGGTAGCACCTCTGCAGGTGGGACATCTAGGAGCTCAAAGCTGGAGAGAGAAGATGTACTAAGTACAGGCAGGACCTTCCCTCTTGGCTCTGGTCGCAGAAACCAGCTATGCTCTATCTTTGTGTGTCATAAACCATTTTAAACTTGCAGGGAGGATGGAGAGTTGTTTAGAATATAAATAAATACAAGCTTACCTTGGTTAGTCATGAAGTCGGCAAAATTCCATATGAGCTCCCCAATCACATACTCTTTCCTCTTTTTGTCAAAAACAGAATGGTACTCTTTTAGCATAGCTTTCTGATACTCCTCGCTGAACATAAGAGGTGGATCCTACAGATGGGAAAAAGAGGTGGCCTTGAAGGAAGGTGACAGTTGGTCTCCACAAAGGCTCCATACATTAACTTCCTATTTACTGGGGGCCTGCTTCCTGAAGACAAGCTTTACAATTGCTTGGTCTTTTCATTGCTGCTGCATTTACAATGGCTATTTAGTGACGATTAGCAACTACTGAAATTACAAGGGGAAACGCACATAAAATGCAAACATAATGCCAGATATACTTGGGGGGGTGTCTGTGGTTTTGCTTGGTAATGGAGCTTTATCATGATAATGTATAGGAGTGCCACCCCCTTCTATGCAGGATACGTCCACTCTCCAGTGTTGTATCTTCTGATTAAGCGTTTTTTACAAATGCCAAAGTGCAGATTTCAGAGTGCTCAGTGCTCTTACTCAAAGCTAAAAACTTCTCTTTAGGTGGAGTCTAACCTTCATTAGTCAGTGGTAAAGCTCATTGATTTCAGTGGAGCAGGATTACAGTCTTGGGGCCTTTCAGATGCTCACAAGCTCATGCATCTCAAAACTAAGGAGTGAGGCTCAATTTTTGCTGATGCTGTAAGAACAAAAGTGGTCTCTTTTTCACCAAGGACATCTATAACACTTACACTGTGAAGTCCAGGAACTGAGTCTGCTCCATATTCACTCTGGATGATGGGTTTCTGATAGGTTTTATACCAGTTCTCAAACTGTGTTGTGAGTTGTAGTGGGATAACTTCCAGGTGGCCTGGGTCATGATACCAGGAGAAGTAGCTATTTACGCAAATTACATCCACATAAGGAGCCTACAAAAAACAAGGTGAGAGTGTTTTGTCACAGACCTTGAAGTGGACAACCTTCATTCATAAAGCTAAATCCTCCTTTTGGTTCATTTAATGGAATCCAGTTTCATTACACATAGAATAAAGCCTTTTCCCCCATCACTCAGACCCTCCCAACATGACATCTTTCCCAGAAAAATAGCAGGATAAATCTAATGAGCTAATAGCATATTCATTTGGCATTTTTCTTACTTAGGAAGTCACAGCAAAGAGTTAGACAAGATCAACCCATTTCATCCTCAGGTTTGTTAGAAGTTTTTGGGTTTCCAAGATGTCTCTGGCTTGCTGGTACATTTAGATGTACTTTTTGAGTATTGGAATGTGATTATCAAGTTAGTGGTCAAATATTTTGACTAGCAACTAAATTTGTGCATCAATGGTGCAATACTAAGACTAAGCATTCTGCAAGTTATATGCCATTTCTACCACACGGACAGTATGATAAAAGGGCACAAAGCCCATTAAAGTGATGTTGTATGTAACTTGTTCAATGTTCTCTTAACATGTTTTGTAATAAAAGAAAAAAGTTCTAATACCATATCAGTGTATGAGATCTATTCTTTGGTTTTGTTTTCCTGTGTTGTTCTGACTACATGCTCGTGGGCATGGGATGTCAGAGTCTGTGTGTACATGCGTGATGAAATAGCATT